AGAAGAAAAGGAAAAAAATTAGTGAAACATTTGCTTTCTGTTCTGTTCTCTTTCATTCACTCCCCTCTGTTGGTGTGAGATCTCACTTCCTTGGTCCCTTGTTGTGAGTCAGATCTTTCTGGCTTGAACATAGCACCCCTTGAGCCCCTTTCTAGACAAGATCACATCACCAGGCAGTCTGTCCCCTTCCAGACTATCACATACTATGTATTAGTCTTTCAACAGCTTCATATTAACTGTTCCCCCCACTTTACAGATAAGGAAACAAACACCTCTCGGTTTCACCTTGTCCCTATTCTTTCCTTTAGTCCACAAATTGTTAAGGACGACACCAATGGCCATGGCTAACTTGACAGGATATGGCTTTGGCTTAAGAACTAAAAATAACCAAATTAGCCTCAAGCATTTGAAACCTTTGCAGCACTGTTCCCCCTACCTAGATAATACTATTAATATTCATGCTCCTCCCTTGCCAGGCTAACTCCTATTCATCTTCCAGGTCTCAACTTAGATGTCACCCCCACCCAGAAGCTTTCTCTGGATTCCACTTTCATGTCTAGGATGGGTAAACTGCTCATGTGCTCTTAAGGTCCCCTGGGCTTGAAATTGCAGTGTGCTGGGCAATAAGGAAACAAAGACTAAAAGGCAAAACTTCCAGGAGCTCCTGATAAAGTTTAAGAAGAATGAGGGAGTTATGTGAATAAATTTCCTGGCTGGAATGGGTGGGGAAGGTAAAGCCATAGTGGGAAAAGGAAATAAAGGATGGTATGGGGTATTCGGGGCACTGACACAGATGGAAAAAGCTGGGGCCTAGCACACTGCAATTTCAGAAGGAAACAGTGGTGCTTTTCACTGCTGCTTTGGATATTCCATAGAACCTCAGAATCTTAACTTTGGGAGAGACCTTAAAAATTTTGGGACACAACTCACATCCAATGAGGAAGTTATATTACACTTGTTTGTCAGAGTTAAAGTACTGAATGCTTTGTTAATTCAACAAACATTCATTAAACAACTCTTAAGTTCAAGGGACACACTGGTGACACAGGTTGAGAAAGTACATGGTTTCTGCCCTTCAGGAACTTGTCAGGTAGCCAGAGAGTAGAGGACAAATGGCCAATTTATTTATTCAGCAAACATTTATTTCATGCTCTGTTCACTAACACAATACCTTGAAAGACTGGTATTATCATCACCACCTTTTTATAGATGAGGAAGTTGGGTCTCAGAAAGGTTAAGCAATTTGTCAAGGGTTGCCTGCACCATCCCAAGCTCCTTTCATTCATTAGCTTATTTACTCTGCACAACAGCCACCTATGAGGTAGGTACTTTTGTTAGCTCCATTTACGTATATGAAAATGTTGCTCAGAGAAGGTAAGGTCACATCACTAATAAGTGGCAGAACCAGAATTCGAACATAGACAATCTGGTTCCAGTATCCATGCTCTCAGCCACCATGCTATAGTGACATATTGTTTAACCAATCAGAGTTAAGTCAGTGTATGAGGATCACATAATGAATAACAATGCAAAAGATAAATGGTTAACATAACTTGTGTTGGTTCTTCTAGTTTCCTTGATTTTTCATTTTTCTCTCCTCTCCCTATTGTCCCATTATCTCCATTGCCAAGAATAAATAAAAGAAGAAAAAGGACACAATTATGTGGAAGTGATTTTGTCAATAAGTTGGGAACATTGCTTAAAGTGAAGGCTCTTACCCTCAGGTAACTGCAGGCTTTTAATTCTCTGAAATCATCTACACATTTTAGTGTGAATGAGCTTATTTGCATTTTTCTGGGGAGAAGGTCCTTTAGTAGTTTTACAGTTTCTGATTTCTTAGACTTCCCTGAGTGATCTATGACCCATAAAAGTCAAAGAACCACCTAAAGAAGAAGAAGAAGAAAAAAAAAAAGGCCAATTATCAGCCTACAAGAAACCAAACATTGGACACTTAAATGTTTTATTATTTAAAAAAAAAATAAAACTCCATAAATGCTACAGAGCCATTAAAATATTTAGAACAACCCTGTGATGACATAGAAAAATCAAGTTGTATAATCGGTAAGTCAATGCTATAATACCATTAACAACTATCGGAAAGTGTTATGTCCACTTCCTCAACTCTGATAACCTTATTAATCCACACGTATTTCACTTTTTAAAAAAAAATTGATTATACATATTCATGGGGCACAGAGCAGAGCATCAGCACTGGTGCCCAAGATGTGATGCTTGCATCAATACTAACAGCCTGCCCACAACCTCAAATTGCATTATTTCCCATGTCCCCCACCTAATTTCTCCCCAGTGCTCTTCCCCCTGCACCTCCCCATCCCTGGCAACCCTAGGTATGTTCTCTCCCTCTGCAAGTCCAAAGCACCACCATGATCTTTCTTTCCTTCCTTCTTTCTTTCTTATCTCCCACTTATGAGTGAGGACATGCGGTATTTTTCTCACTGTGCCTGACTTATTTCACTTAACATAATTTTCTCCATGCTCATCCATGTTGCTGTGAATGGCAGAATTTCATTCTTTTTTATGGATGAGTAGCATTCCACAGTTTCCTTATCCAGTCATCCATAGATGAACCTTTCGATTGGTTCCATATCTTGGCTATTGTAAATAGAGCTGCGATGAACATAGGAGAGCAGGTATCTCTTTGACATGATGATTTCCATTCCTTTGGGTATGTACCCAGAAGTGGAATTGCTGGATCATATGGAGGATCTATCCGTAGTTGTTTGAAAAACCTCCATACTGTTTTCCACAGTGGTTGTACTAGTTTACAGTCCCACCAACAGTGTAGGAGGGTTCCCCTTTCTCCACATCCTTGCCAGCATTTGCTATTCTGTCTTTTTGATTATAGCCAGTCTAACTGGGGTGAGATGATATCTCAATGTGTTTTTAAATTTGCATTTCCATGATAATAGTGATGCTGAGCATTTTTTCAAGTACGTGTTGGCTATTTGTATGTCTTCCTTTGAAAAATGTCTATGCAGCTCCTTTGCCCATTTTTTTAACTGGTTATTTGTTTTTTTACTGCATAGTTGTTTGAGTTCCTTGTATATTCTGGATACTAATCCCTGTCAGATGTATAGTTTGCAAATATTTTCTTTTCTATAGGTTGTCTTTCACTCTGTTGATTGTTTCCTTTGCTATGCAGAAGGTTTTCAGTTTGCTATAATCCCATTTTTTTTTTTTTTTTTTTTGTTCTTGCTTGTGCTTTTGAGGTCTTATTCATAAAGTCTTTGCCCAGACCTACTTCCTGTAGTTTTATAGATTCAGGTCTTATATTTTAAGTCTTTAATCCGTTTTGAGTTGATATTGATATATGACAAGAGGTGCAAGTCTAGTTTCATTCTCCTGCATATGGATGTCCAGTTTTCCCAGCACCATTTATTGAAGAGGCATTCTTTTCCCCAATGTATATTCTGGTTGCCTTTGTCAAAGATCGGTTGGCTGTAATTATGCGGGTTGATTTCTGGGTTCCCTATTCTGTTCCATTGGTCTGTCTATTTTTATGCCAGTATCATGCTGTTTTGGTTACTATAGTTTTGTAGTTTAATTTGAAATCAGGTAGTGTAATGCCACCAGCTTTACTTTTTTTGCTTAGGATTGTTTTGGCATATTTCACTTCTTAATCCACACATATTTCACTTCCTTTCCTCCAACTAGACTTTACTTGTCACAGTCATCAGTGATCTTCACCTTGTCAGATCTAGCACCCAGTCTCTATCCTCAACTTTCAGTATAGTTGGCCACTGGCTCTGCTTCCATGCCATGTTTCTACCTTACTGGCTTTCTTTCCCAGTCACAAATACTTCACACTTCAGGTGTTCAGGTGCGGTTAAGGTACTTAAGTCACACCTCCAGCCCTCACTGCTACACTTAGCTCTATAAGCAATGTATTCAATTGTTTACTTCACATCTCTCCTTGACTATCTAAGATGTATGCAGCTCAAACTAAATATTTCCAAACAGAATTGTTAATACTATTATTGTCTTTCTTATTCAGCTCCCAGAACAGTGTCTGGCCAAAGTAGATTCTCCAGAAATAGCTGTTGAATGAATGAATGAATAAATAAGTGGGAGAAAAGTTATATTTAAAAATTATATTTAAAATTGTGTGTATAGGTTGGCTGGTTACTCACTTGATTAGAGCATGGCCTTGTAACTCTAAAGTCAAGGGTTTTGTTCCCAGCACTCACCAGCCACCAAAAAAAAAAAATAATAATAATTAATTAATTAGTTAAAAAAATAAAATAATACCACTGTAGCAGGCTTGACTCTAAGCTGTGTCCATCACTGGACTGTTCAAACATGTATGGCCTTGGGGTAGAGGGTGCATGCGGGGGCTCTAAAGGGGTGGGTTCTTTTTTTATGAGTTGTCGCAGAAGGAGCATGAACGTTTGCCCCTACCAAAGTCGTAGGAAAAACACCAAAACGTTAACAGCGGTTGTGCATGAAATTAAAAGATTTTTCTTTAAAACTCCTTCTCTATTTTCCAATTTTATTTAGAGCCTAGTAGATAAGAGTATCAGAGCTTGGAGTCTGATTGAACACTGCCACTTACCGATTATACACCTTGATTTCCTCTCAGTCTTAACGTTCACAATGAACTTAACTGAAATTAAGGATGGAAGGGCTTTGCACGGTGCAGGTACTTAGTGAGGGACAGTTTTTGTTAGCTGATAATGATGACGGTATGTTTTCTTTTATAATGAAAATGCACATTTTTCTGATAAACCTTTACTGATGAGTGAAAAGAACGCGGCTCACCCATATACGCTCCGCCCCGCTCCTCACGCCCCGCCCCTCTTCCTGCCACTCTCAGGGGAAGGTGCGCCTGCTCCGTCCGCTTTTTCCGCCCACGTGATCTGCTCAGGCACCTCCCGTATCCAACATGGCGGCGCCCAGGGGCTGAAGCCGCACGTGAGGAAAGTCTGGGCACCTGGGAATCAGAGAGTAAGAGGGTGTGGCCACTTTCTCCTCCCTACCGTCGGTTGCATCCATTCGACCCTCCCGAAGCCCTCGCGGGCCACTGCCCCTCTGCAGCCATGAAAACTAAGCCCGTTTCCCACAAGACCGAGAATACCTACCGGGTGAGCGCGGGAGCTTGGGCAAGGGCCGCGGGTCCCTGCTGCCTCTGCGGTGAGACTGGCTCTGAGCCGGACTCCCGGGGCTACAGAGTTCTGGACCGATTGTGAGTCTCTGGCCTGGAGGCTCCGGCGAAAGTGGGAGACTCTCCGGATGTAGTAAACATAGGATGGGGAAGGAAAGAAGTCTGAACAGCAGATTTCACCTATGGTTTGTGGGCCTGGCCCGTCTTGGGAATTCCCTTCAGTGCAGTGTTAAATTCATTATTCCAGGAGGTTGCTTAGGAACGATTCTCCCCTGCTCTTTTATCTTTAGAGACCGAAGTGGGAGGGGGGGGCGGGCCGGTGAGAAGAGGTAAGTGATTATCAGCTAATGGCCACTATTGCTCTTGCCTTTTTATAGTTTCTTTCCAAATGTTAGTTACGATGCAACCATAGGTCTGTATCAGCTTAAATAAACTTTTGTTGCAAAGTCTTAGCCAGATCCCTGTGCTTGTAGCTGGGTATCAAATCTAACAGATCTAGGGAAGCCAATCGCCAGCGTTCACCTCGGTTCATCTGTCAAGGATCGAAATTTTATTTGAAATGACGTAGTTGAACTAATGTATGCAAACATATTCATGAAAGTATTCATTATCTTCGAATAGTAACGCAGTACATTTGTTAAAGGCGGTATGTCTTTCAGTTTGCATTTACATTTATTTGTGATTGATCAGTGATGCCTGCTTTTAGTTTCAAAAATCAGTTAAACATTTTATGATTCTTAAAAAACACAAGTCTGGATTACAAGCAAAGTATACTGTTATTTATAATGATAAGTACAAGGAGGCTAATTGAAGCTTTAAACTTTCCACTTTCACAAGGAAATTGCCCACATGTGCTTACTATACAGCACTCAAACAGATATTCAGGATGTGATAAGTATCAAATGATGATGTATCTTAATTATGCTTTTCTCCCCAGTTTCTTACGTTTGCTGAACGACTGGGGAATGTGAATATCGATATTATTCACCGGATTGATAGAACCGCAAGCTATGATGAGGTAAGAGAATGTGATGTTAGCCAGTCTTCAAGTGTACATAGGTGGTGTTTTAGTTTCTCCTGTTAGTTGAAGGGAATTGTTTTTTATGTCATTCCTTTATGAACAGTAAATGCATTAGACCTGTGCTGTCTAATTCATTAGTGACATATGGAAAATTAGATTTAAATCGAAGTACAATAAATCTAAAATTCAAGTGCTTGATAGCCATATGCGGCTAGTTGCTACCATATTGGAAAAGTGCAGATATGGAACATTTCCATCATTGCAGAAAGTTCCAAGGGTGATGCTGTGTTAGACAGTTAACTTGACTTCATAATCAGCTGACTTTTGTGGTTCCAGCTTTACTCTTTCCATTGTGCATTCCAAGCACTGCTATAGATCCATATTCCTGAAATTTGGTGGGGCTTGTTGGTCTTGGTTCTCTTCATGGGCTCTTGTTCTTTAGTAAGCTAGACTAGCCTTCTTTTATGATGGCAGAATCCTTCCAAGAGAGTGAAAACAAGCTACAAGACCTCATAAATCCTAGCTTTGGATGTCATGGGGTTACTCCCATTGCATGTTGTTAGTCAAAGGAAGTTATAAGGACAAGCCAGATTCAAGGGATGAGGAAATAGACTCCATCTCTTGGTGGGAGGAGCTGCAGAGTCCCATTCTAAAAGGACTATGTCATAGTCTATCACCAATGGCTGACATGTGCCGGTCACTGTGCTAGGATAGAAATGACTTCTACATTTAGGTTTTATACTGTAATGTGTATTTCCCTTCTACCTTAAGGGACACTGAGCAAAACTTAATGGGATTCTCTTTCTTCTCTCTATTCTGCCTGTTTATTTTATTTCATTTTTATTTTTTAAAGATTTCCAAAACACAGTTTAAGGATCTTTTGTTTTTGTTTTTTTTTTTTGAAATTGTAGAAGATTGGCATGCTGTTTGTGTTTGTGCTTATCTGTTCATTCTCTCTCTATTAATTCATATGCAGGGACATATATACACACACACAGTAATAATTTATTGTCTTTACCTTTCCAAGTACAAAGTAACATATACGGTGTAAACAAGCTAAACCACACAGTGGTGAACTTAGAAAAAGACTGTTATCTTACTCTTCCCACCCCTATTGCCAAGGAAACCAACACTGACAGTTCAATATATGTGTATTCTTCCATACTTTTCTCTCTTGATCATAAAAATATGTGCAATTATTTATAGAGGGTTTTTTGGTTTTGGTGTTTTGTGTTTTTTGTTTTTTTTAATTGGATCCTACCATACACTTTGCCAAGGAAACCAACACTGACAGTTCAATATATGTGTATTCTTCCATACTTTTCTCTCTTGATCATACAAATATGTGCAAATATTTATAGAGGGGTTTTTTGGTTTTGGTGTTTTGTGTTTTTTGTTTTTTTTAATTGGATCCTACCATACACTTCACTAACTTGCTTTTATCAATTTGAGGGCATATCATCAACATCCTTCTAGTTCAATGTAGATATAACTGTTTAGTAGCCACATAATAAACCTTACTATGTATAGACCATAAGTTATTCCAACCATTTTCCTGTTGTTGGATATTTAGGCATTTTATGTTTCCCCTTCATCACAGTAAAATTGAATAAATATCTTTATACTTGTATGTTTGCCAATTTTGTAAGAAATAATCTTCAAAAGTAGTATTGCTAGATCAAAAGAGATACCTGTTTTTAATTTTAATACAAATGCCAAGTTACTTCCCCATAAGGCTATAGCAATTTATATTTCCAAATGCAGAATAAGAGAACTGTAAAAAGTCAGCACATTTTTTTGTGCCTAAAATTATAAAACACAGAAAAAAATGTTTCCTTAGTGTGACTATAATATGGGCTTTAGGGAATTATTTGCTGAAACCAAATCAACAAAACATTGTTTCTATAAATCACCCTTTGATATACTTCTCATTGCTTTTTAAGTGTGTTAGTTAATGCCCTTTAAAAAACAAACAAAAACTAAAAGGAGTTTGTAAACTCTTGACTATAATTGTCTTATAATATTAATATGTCATTATTCTTATTTACTTTGGTTAACCGTTTTCTTGGAGTTATCTGATTAATGGATTGCTTTAATCTTGGCAGGAGGTCGAAACCTACTTTTTTGAGGGTCTGCTGAAATGGAGAGAATTGAACCTTACGGAACACTTTGGTATTTTTTATTTTGTTTCTGTTTTATTCGCCTGTAATTTATACTTTATATGTTCCAAACAACAAAATAAGTAGTATGATGGAAAAGCAAAACATATTCTTTTTTTTTCTATCCAGGGAAATTTTATAAAGAAGTTATTGACAAATGCCAATCATTCAATCAGTTGGTCTACCATCAAAACGAGATAGTTCAGAGTTTGAAGACTCACCTACAAATTAAGAACAGTTTTGCCTATCAACCTCTTTTGGAGTAAGTAGCATTTGGGAGAAAGCTAGACAGCGTTTATCTGAATTTTAAGAAAGGTCTTGGATCATAGTTGCATATGCCTTAGATTGGGTGTTTGTAATATTGGAACAAGAAGACTTATACCTCTTTCTGTTAGGAAAAGGTGTGTTACCGTAAAGCAGGATCTTAGGGATACAATTTTGCATTTGTTATATACTCTTAAAAGAACCCCATTTTTTTTTGATGCTATATGAACAATTGACTACAACTTGTGATGGAGTGTGCCTTCCTGCCTGATTTCTTTGCTTAACTCTTAAGATGTGATTT